GGTGCATGTGTGGTGTGGGTAGGTTGGGTGTGCATGTGTGGGGGGCTACCTCCTGCCTGTTCTTTGTGGATGGTGGGGAGAGGGATCAGCACTGCCTGCCTGGCTTGTAGCATGCTGCAAAGGGCAGGAAAGCAGCTGCCGCCAGCGGGCAGCAAGAGAAGCCCCTAGGAGAAGGGAGGGGGGACCGGGAGCCAAGCCTGGCGCCACCAGCTCTCCATCCCACACCTGCCCAGCAGGGCTACAGCTAAGCCTACACTGGCTCCTGCTTCCATCCTACATGCCTGCTCAACGGTGCTGCACCAAGTGCATGCTGGATCCTGCTGCTGCTCCCACCCCACCTGCCTGTCCAGTGCCCGCCTTTGTGAGCAGCCAAGCTTCTTCATGCCCCCCTATCCCCCTACTCCTCTGCTCAGCCATGCACAAGCAGGACCAAAGTGAGCTGCAGGCAGAGTCCACCCCGCTCCCCTCAATGCTGCAGCTTCCCCTCCCTATCTGCTGCCCAGAGCACTACAACAGGGACAGGAAGAGTTGCTGGAGGCTTGGGGAGCCCAGCAGTTCCCTGTGCCTGCTGGCCGGGGCTGGGAGCGCAGCATGTGCTGTCCTAGGCATGAGCCGGTGGTACTTGGCCCCATGCACAGCACAGCAGGGGCAGCCCCCAGTGGGGCGGATACAATTAATTGGTGGGTGCCTGCCTGTGGGCTGTATCAAATCAGCTGGCGGGCCAGCCGGATTTTGCCCACCCCCATCTAAAGCCTGGCTAACTTCAGAGTCCAAACTTTGTCTCTCCCCTGTTCCCCACCATGCAGGTATCGGTGGGCCCTGATCAAGCCACTTCTTAGCCTTCTCTTGGATAAACTAGTTAGACCCTCACTGTAAGGAACATTTTCCATAACTCAAATCTTTCTTGCTCTCCTCTGAGCTCTATAATTGTCCAACATTCAAATTAGGGATGTAAATACCATTTAAAAAATAATTGTTTAACCTCCTCTAATTATATTGATTAAATGGTTAACCAATAACACACTGGCTCAGATGGGGTCGCTGCTGGGAGCCGCTCCTGGGACCCTTTTGAGAGGGGGTAGAAAAGGGGAAGAAGGGGTGACAAGCCCAGGCAGACAACACAGCCCTTGCTCTGGGAGGTAGGGAGGGAGCACCTGCTGTGAAGGAGCAGCTAATTGCTTAATTGAACAGTCATTAGGTTGCCTGTTGTTTTTTTCTTAGGCTATGGGTACTAGTTCTCCTCCCCTCCCCTCTTCTCTTCCTCCTGCCTGCCTGCTGGGGCACCTTGCATCTTTCCTTCCCCTCCTTTCCTGCCAGACTGGGTCACACAGAGCTAAACAATAACCAGTATGCTAACTCATTATCACTCGGTTTATATCAGTTAAATGATTGTTTAACCTTTCACATCCCTTATTCAAACTGGACAGAGTGTTCTAAGAAGGGTCTCAACTAAGCTGCACACGGGTTTGGGGAGGTGACACTCCACAGACTGCTTATACACCCATGGATCACACAGGATTGTATCATTACTGCCAAGTTGTGACAAAAATCAGCTTAGGGATGAAGAACAGCTGGCTCAAGATGAACCTGACCAAGGCAGAAGAAAGCATTTTGAAGAGATCCCAACAAAGAGCAGTTTCCTTTGGTGGAAAGCATACACGAGTGATCAATTCAGTCTATATCTCAGGAGTATTCCTAGATACCTCCCTGATTAAGCTCTCGCAAAGCAACACCTGCTTTCCACCATCTCTGCTTCTTTAGACTCCATCTCATCCTAGAAGAGAATGACGACTAGGTCAGGGGTGCTCACCCCACAGGCCAGAACAGGCCTGCGGAGCGGTCTCATTCAGCCCGCTGGGCTCCCCACAGGTCTAAAAATTTGGTGGTGGGGGAGTGGTGACCACACCTCTGTTGCTACATTTCTGGATCCATGGGGAGCCCAGTGGGTCAGGTAGCATGGCCCTGTGTGCTAGACTGGGCATGTGGGGCTGGGGTGGCACAAGGCCCAATCTGGGCATAGGTAGTTCGGGGATCAATCTGGGTGCCTGGGACCCCAACCCCATGTATGGACCCCACAAGGGGCCTGGCCCACTGACTGGTCCAACACCACTCATCCAAAAGGCCAAGCACCAACTGCCCTAGGTTATCAATGCCTTTAATGCCATAGAAATGCAGAGTACTGGGCATGAAGCCTTCAGTACTCAGGATCCTCCAACTAGTTCAGAAATCTGGAGCATGTCTCCTCAGCAACACAGGCTTGGTGTGCTTGTGGTAGCCAATCTTTTGTTTGCTACAGCGGCTGAATATCAAGTTCAAGGTTTCAATCCTTGTCTTTGAGGTGTTCTGCAGGTTGGGCCCAGGGTGTCTAGAAGCCCCTGAAGCTCAAGGTAGAAAACTATGTCGACAACACAGCTCCCTTGTGCCAGAAGAGGATTCTTGTATGATCGGGGAGAACGTGTCTAGGCAAGAGGCAGAACTTTCCCCCAGGCCAGGCCAGGATAGTGTAAAACTCTTCCAGGAACCAAGGACCACCTAAACTCACTACCTTCAGCTCTAAGTGCAAAGCACATTTCTTTGATCTCCCCTTCTCTAATGGAAGTACAGCAACAGATTATACAAGAAAACGTTCCAAGATAAGCCTGCCACAAGCTCTTGCTTTCTCTCCCAACAGTTATTCTCAACTAGGGTGCTGTGGGACCCTGGGGTGCCTTGAGATCCTCTCAAGGGTGCTTTGGGTTGCCACCCAATGTCAGCACTGTTACATGTGCAAATATGATTCACATGATAAACCCTGAAACTTCAAATAGGAAGCTACATGTTAAAAGCATTCTGACCTTTTATGTGCTTTCTGAGCTCTTTGCAAGAGATTAATGTCTCTATTATTTTTCTCTGAAAACTGAGGTGGCATTTCTGAGGGGTGCCTTGAGTCTAAAAAGATTGAGAACCACAGTCTACAGCATCCCACTGGAAGTTCATATTCGACTGCTTATCTGCTGTTATCCCCAGCCTCTTTTCAGTGTCACTGCATGCCATGACACAGCCTCTCACCTTGGAAGCATGACCTCCATTTGTTTTTAGATAAATGCAAGGTCCTATGCCTTTGTTAAAACATTTGTTTAAATGAGTCCACCTTACCAAACAATTGGGAGTGACCTAAGTAGCTTGGCCTGCTTATTATGTCATTTGCAAAATAAAGCAGTACACATGTACTTCCAGGACATGGAAAAAGCTAATAGCCAGCACTGGGTTTCTTCAAGGCTCCTCTAGAAGCCCCTTTATTCCCCATCTGTTTTCTATACCGTTAACGCTGTGACTGAATCGAGCACCCTGAAGCATCTTAAATATGCCAGTTCTTTTTCTCAGCTAAACTTTAATCTCATCAAAATGAAGGCAACAAGTTCGTTATTATGATGACCTGCTTCAATTCAAAACAGGAAGAGCTCAGTTTAAATATGAATCCTAACCACTGCCCTACCAACCCATTTTTAAAAAGAACAGTCAGGTGACGTATTTATTCACCTGAATAAATTATTGCAAGAGCCTGAATTACAACCCAACAGCCAAAACTGCCAGCCTCACTTCATAAATAAAACCGAAAAAGCAGAGACAGTATAAAAGGCATTGTTTATATGCAATTAATTAGAAAGGGATTTTTAGAAATCCATGTTAAACAAATCTGTTCCAGAATTTCTAGCATGCTACATGAGTACTGCAAAATTTAGGTCCCACTTTGCCAAGAAACAGAGGGCCCTTGTGTGTGTGTACATATGTGAAACAGCATGTGAAAGATGGAAGTGATGAAACCTGCTCTGAAACAGAGGGCTGCTTCTACCTTCCACAACGACACACAAAAGCACTCGCACCAAGGGACCCACAATTTTCATGCCCGCCTCTGTTAGACAATGGGCTCGACAACAACATGACATCATGGCAACACATGACAACAACATGACATCATGGCAGCACACACTGCAGCGCTCCCAGCAACACCTGCACGGAGGGAGCAGAGACCTCCCTCCCCTTCTCTTGCAAGCACTCAAATCCCCCCCGCATCGGGGAGGACAGTTTTCCAGTCAGATACACACAATACTAGAGATTGTGCCTCTAAGCCAATACCTGATCTAGACACATCACCCAGGTAAAAATATCAATAACACCCCCTCCCCTCCCACCCGAGGCGCTGAACTGACGGGTCCTAACCCTAACGTTATTTGCTCTCTGAAAAGAGCAAAAAATGTGGTGGTGTTCACGTGCGGCCGTGCTCCGCTCCACCGCAATAACAAGACTCGGTGGGGATGAGACACCATTACAGCTGCTGCTATTTAAAGTGTGGGGCAGCCTTGCCAAAAAAAAGAGGGGGGGAGGGAAAAATACCCAGCCGTGTTTCTAGCGAACCAATCTCCCGAGCCAAACCGGCGGTGACAGCTTCGCCCCCAAAATAAGCCCCCATAATTGTGGGCAGCCTGCTTTGCTTCTCCCACCCTGCCCCACACTGGGGTCAAGGGCAGAGCGAGAAATGCACCCGTAAAGGCGATGCACGGAGTCCCGTCCTGATCCGCAGCCGCCCCCCTGGGACGGCGTCCCCCTCTGGTGCCTTGGGGACAAGGGGAAAAGCAGAGAGAGGCTGTCTGGGGGGGGGCATCAGGCAGCTGGGCCCTGTATTGGGGGGGGCAAGCTGAATGCCCCCCAAGCAGCAGGGTTTGCTCCGTGCCCCATTGGGGGGGCAGCCCCCCCCCCGCCCCAGGCCAGGGAGGGCAGGGAGCAGCCCCCCTCCAGGTCGGGGGGGGGGGGGGGCCCCCCCCCCCCCCGGCTGGAGCTGCCCCCTTGCCAGCCCCCACCAGCAAGATGGCTGCCGCCCCCAGCCAGGGGCAGAGCCCTGCCTCCGCGTCCCGGGCGCGGGGCGACGGCAGCAGCAGGGCTGCTCCATCAATACCCGCCCGGCCCGGCAGTGGGGATGTTCCCCTGCGGGCATCGGGGCTTTTCCCGCGGGGAGCACTCACCATCGTGGCGGATGGCTCTGGATGCTGCCTGCACCCCTCCCCCCAAGCGCCGCCGCCGCCGCCTCCGCCGAGACCAAGGAGGACTGGAACGAGGCCAGAGCCGGCGAGATAGGGCGAGAGCACAGAGAAGAGCTGGCGGCGGGCTAGAGTGCCCACTTCCCGCGCAGGACGGCGCTCCTGCTCCGCGCATGTCTATGGTGGGGAGCCGGGGGCACCCCCGCCGTGCCTAGCGTGTGGTACCCTCCGGCCCCGCACTGCGCCCTCTAGTGCCCAGCGCGGTCGCGTCCATTGCAGGGGTGGGGGGATCCTCAGCCTCGGGTTACTTTAGATGGGTCCAACAGAGCATCAGGATACTGTGCTAGGATGGATAGGAGGGACCTATAAGGATGGATGATATTAACATAATACACTGTAAAAGAATGAATATCTGTTCTATTATGTGGGATCAACACGTGTCCTGTCTATTACAAAGGATCCTGCATTATATTGGGATTATATTAACATACCATGCTGTTATTATTTGCTAGTAGACAATAATGCAGTCTCATGTTTCATCCATAACCTGTTGTTATATAGGTAATAATGTTTATTATCAGTCATTTATTGTTAGACTCTATTATTGTGCCCAGGAATCCAGATTGCGGACCACGACTCCGTGCAAGGGGCTGTGCAAACAGGGCAAGCCCTGCTGTAGTGAACTTACACTTGATGCAAATTTTGGTGTAAATTTGTACCCTTCTTTTATGATCTTAAGTGAGCAGAACAAATGGTCAGAAGCTTTTACTGGACCGTAGTTGCCAAGACTAGGGAAGAGTGTATAAAACAAACAACCCCTTCCCTTCCCCGAAGTACATTATTCTGTTCAGAATAGAGATGGGGTAGAAGGAAAGTCAGGATTAGCTATATATATATATATATATATATATATATATATATATATAAATGCTTCGTAAAGCAGGGAAGCATAATTGCTAATGTGAATATATATTGCTAGTGTGTGTGTGTGTGTGTGTGTGTATATATATATATATATTGCTAATCCTGACTTTCCTTCCACCCCAACTCTATTCTGAACAGAATCTCTCTTTCTCTCTCTGGAAGTAAACCTGATTTTTTATCAAAATCTTTGTATTAAAAAGGTTATTGAAATATGTCATTACTAAAACTTTAAGACATTTAGAACATCTTTTTAAAATGATTTTTTTTTCAATGAGAAGCCATTTTGGCTAAAACTTTTGTTTAAAAGCTGTTGTGCTTAGAATGAGAACTGGACGATGCAAATTTCGATGCTCGGTGCTAATTATTGCTCCACCTGCCTTGAAAGATGTGCTCCGATTAAATGATGAAAAAATAGATGCCTCCATATCAGGGGTGGTTAACATGCAGCCCACCAGGCCATTCTATCTGGCCCGCGGGGCCCCTAAAAAATTTAGAAAATTAATATTTATCTGTCCCTGGCTGCCTGTCATGCAGTTCTTGATGGCTTGCCAAAACCCAGTAAGTGGCCCTCTGCCTGAAATAATTGCCCGCCCTGCTATATGCAACTCAGTCTTGAATTACTCAGTTACTGAGACAATCCCAGATCTTTATTGTCTGAAATTCATATGCGTTTCCCTGCTTTGGGAAGCATGTTAGGGCTGGGGATCACCTATAAATGCTCAGTTGTTTAAGGATCTGAATTTGGAGGGGAGGTGGAGGATGAGGAGCGTCCATGTCTCTGTGCTTTTAAAAAGTTATGAAAGTTTCAGGTGTTTTCACAAAATTTCTCCAGGATCTCAAGAAAATTCTCACAAATCCGGTGATGTATTTGGTAGCTGTGTTGGTCTGGGACAAAAATAAATGCAAAACTCTAAAACTCTTAGTTCAGAGATGATACATTTATTAGACCAACACAGCTACCAAATACACCCCTGGAACATGGAAGATGCTGAATTTTAGCCCATTTTGGAATTATAAACTTAATTGCTAAACAACAAAGGAGGATTTCTACACCCTGCCTTTCTGCCGTCTGACACCACCAGGGAAGAAATCCTGCCTTATCTGCACAAAACTGAGCAACCTGCACAAAGGGACTCTCCTGGACCCAGAAGAACAGACATCCACCTTCAGTGTCCTCTGTGCAAAATGAAGTTTATTTTCTACCCATGGGGACTTTTTACCATCTTTAGTTTCCCTGCGCCTGAAGAAGGGCGTGTGTTCCCAAAAGCTTGCAAAGAAAGATAATTTCTTTTTTGCAATTTCTTTAGTTGGCCTAATAAAAGGTATCATCTCTGAACCAAGAGTTTTAGAGTTTTGCATCACAAATTCTGTGGCATGTTTAAAGTTTGTACTTTTCACAAAATAAAAGAACAATCCAAGTGAAATGAGTGGGGGGTTTTCGGAGGGGGCCAGCAATGTGAGCAGGGGATAGATGATGTAGGTAAAAGCTGGAGAGGAGGTGGAAAAAACGGGTAGTGGAAGAGCAGCTGTCAAGCAACAGGCAGCATCTAGTGTCAGCAACAAGTTGGAAACCTACAAGCCGTGACCTGAGGCTTCCTGATTATTCTGTGCTCTACACCTCCTCAGCCCCCAACTGTTGTAGATGTTCTCTGGAGGAGTTGCTATTTTTCACTTATATTATAATAACACCAAGGTACCTCTATCATTGTGCTTTGTTGGCACAATAGATCTAATATAGAACTAAAAGCCAGAGCCTGCTGCAAAGATTTTTATACCATGCAAGTAGGTCATAGCCGTGTAATCCAAATGGCCTTTAACAAGAATTTTAGATGCAGCATTTCATTCTCTCTCTCTCTCTATATATATATATGTTAGTGGCTTCCCAGCAGTTTCAATTCTTGGAAAAATGTTAGTTGACTGGTGCAGTACAACCTGCAGGGGGAGATAAAAACATTGCTTTGATACTGCATTGCTTTGATCCAGCAAATACAGTGAAATGAGGCTTTCTTTACACTTTGGTGATATAGTGGTGGATTTGATCTGTTTGCTTGCTTTGAACAGATATTTGGACTCTAGAGACCATAGCTGTCAGTTAGTTAAAAAAAAATCTTAAAGTAGGTTAAATAAGTTCAGTTTCCCTTTAGGTCCCAAGAAGACACCCTATTGCTTTTGAACGATTGTTTTATTTTATTAAAGATACTAAAATACTAGCAGCACTTTACAGTTGTTAATGTATTCTTTCATCCACAAATATCCTTTACGTATGTTAATGAATTCAGCTGTGAAGCACAATGTGCCTGAAGCTCTTTACCTAATCCTGAAATATTGCAGCCAGTGGGGTAAAATATGACAGCTAACTGAAAACTGCAAAGCAATATTACACCAGAAATGTAAGATAGGAAAAGAAGAATACAGTATCCAGTGCATTATTGAATCTAGCGTCCTTAGAAAAATAGGACTGGAAGGACTCTTCAGAAGGTCACCTAGTCTAATTCCCAGCTCATTGCAGACACGTTTTGTCTAATCTGCACTTAAAAGTAGTAATGGAGGGCACTTTTACACGTGCTTCGCCGTGTTCTGATTAAAAATGCATGCTGCAGTGTCTCATGTATTCAGTGTCCCACATTTCAAAACGGCAGTGGAGTGCTTTAACTAAAACATGTCGAATGAGCTTTAATTAAAGTGCCCCACCATCATTTTGAAAACGTGGGACACTGAATACACAAGACACTGTGGGCATTTTTAATTAGAGCGGCTCCTGAAACCTGCTGTAATTAAAATCATAGGCAACTCGTAGGGGGGGCATGGGCGGCCACAAGCCCCTCCTGAGATTGGCCGACTCCAGCTCTGCAGGCCACCACCGCTCGCCACCCCCCACTGCCGACGCTACCGCTAGCTTCTGCGGGTGGTCGCTGATTGCCGCTCACAACCCTTGGCCACCGACACCGGCTTCTGCGGGCGGTCACCACTCGCCACTGACTCCGCTGACGCTGCCATCCAAAAATTGTGCCCCCCACCAACAAGTCTTGGGAGGCACCAGTCGTTCATGATTAAAATGACCTCTCCACCCGGGAGCATGTCCACAACCTCACTAGCTAATCTGTTTCTGTGCTTAATCACTCTCATACTTAGGAAGGTCTTAATAGCCAACTTAAATCTCCCTTGCACGCATTTAACACTTTCCTACTGGGCTTGTCCCTTGCAGACGCGGGGAAATGGTTGACGATTGCTATCCTCCTTAGAACAACCCTTTTTTGTCTTTTAAAACTGTTACTAAGTTGCCCTCGGTCAACTCTTGACAAAATTATCTCAGTCCTTTCGACTTATCTCTGTATGTCATTTTATTAATACCTCTCTTCTCCCCTGTACTCTTACCAATCCGTCCGCATGCTTCTTGAGGTGTGGTGCCCAAAACTGGACACGATGCTCCAGATGAGGCTTCTCCAGTGCTGAATGGAATGGGATGGCAGAATTGCTTCCCCTGATTTGCACGTCAGTCCTTTTAATACGCCCCAGGATGCTATTCACTTATTATAATTTGCAATAATATTACGTTACTGAGTCATTCATTCAGAAGTGGATGTGTTATACCTTGACTTTAGCAAGGCTTTTGACACTTTCTCCCATGATATTCTCATTGACAAGCTAAAGAGATGCAGCCTAGGCAAAAGTACTGTAAGGTAGATACATAACTAGTTGAATCAGCATGCTCAATGATTGGTAATCAACAGCTCAGTGTCTAGATGGGAAGAGGTATGGAGCTGGGTTCCCCAGAGGTTTATTTAATGGGTCTGGTTTTGTTTAATACCTTTATTAATGATTTGGATGATGGGATTGAGTGCACGCTCAGTAACTTGGCAGATGACATCAACTTGAGTGGAGTTACAGGCGTTCTGGAAAATAGGACTATGATCCTGAATGACCTAAATAGACTGGTTTGCAATCAATCAGATGAGATTCAACAAGGACAAGCGCAAAGTCCTGAACTTGGGATGGGATATTTGTATGTACAAACACAGGCTGAGGAATGATTGGCTAGGTAAAAATTCTGCAGAAAAAGACCTGGGGGTTACAGTAGACCATAAGCTGAATACGAGCCAACAGTGAGCTCTTGTTGCAACAGAAAAGCCAACAGAATACTGGGTTGTAGTAACAGGAGGGTCGCTTTCGCTTGCAAATTAAAGGAAGTAATTCTGCTTTATTTGGCATTCGTGAGGCCTCACCTGGAGTTTTGTGTCCAATTTTAGGCCC